AACTAAAGAAAACCTGTGCACAGCAACAAAGACCCAATGCAGCCAAAAATAAATAAATTAAATAAATAAATTTAAAAAAAAGAACACAGGTTTAAAAAAACAGAAACAAAACAAAAAAGAAATACCACACTGTGAATGGCCACAACTGTGAAGAAAGGAAAGCCCTACCTAAGCAAGAAATGACAGTGTTTCATCCAGCCAAAGAGGTCGAAGTGGTTCTGGAAACTTTGGTGGTGGTCTTGGAGGGGGTTTTGGTGGGAATGACATCTTTGGTCGCGGAGGAAACTTCAGTGGCCGAGGTTGCTTTGGTGGCAGCTGTGGTAGCGGTGGATATGGTGGCAGTGGCGATGGCTATAATGGGTTTGGTAACGATGGAAGCCATTTTGGAGGTGGCAGAAGCTACAATGATTTTGGCAGTTATGACAATCAATCTTCAAATTTTGGACCCGTGAAAGGAGGAAACTTTGGAGGCAGAAGTGCTGGCCCCTGTGGTGGTGGAGGCCAATACTTTGCCGAACCATGAAACCAAGGTGGCTGTGGCGGTTCCAGCAGCAGCAGGAGCTACGGCGGGGGCAGAAGATTTTAATTACTGCCGGGAAACAAAGCTTAGCAGGAGAGGAGAGCCAGAGAAGTGACGGGGAAGCTCCAGGCTACAACAGATTTGTGAACTCAGCCAAGCACGGTGGTGGCAGGGCCTAGCTGCTACAAAGAAGACATATTTTAGACAATACTCATGTGCATGGGCAAAAAAAACTGGAAGACTGTATTTGTGACCAATTGTATAACAGATTATTTTAGTTTCTGTTCTGTGGAAAGTATAAAGCATTCCAACAAAGGGTTTTAATGTAGATTTTTTTTTTTTTTGCACCCATGCTGCTGATTGCTAAATGTAATAGTCTGATCATGAAGCTGAATAAATGTGTCTTTAAAAAAAAAAAAAAAAACGGCAAGGAAATCTTTTCCTGAAGCTCCTCAGCAGAACCCCCTCCTATCTCGTTGACCACAAAATTGGCCCATGACTATGTTGGAACCAGTCCTTGACAAGGGGAATGGCGCCATTATGATTGACTTGGACTCCTCATGGCCCACGCACTAAGGGCCCAGCCTCCTCTGAAGCATGTGGACAGATTGGAGAAGGGGAGACACCAGATTAAAATGGGGATTGTGTCAGGAAGGAGGAGAGAAGAAGTGCCTGAGGGTTCGACCTCCAGCAGCATCTACCAAATAGCTGTAGGGCAAATCATCGCCTTCAAAACCTCACATTCGAGAGAGTGAGGTGGAGACACACAGAATCTGAACATTGATCAGAATACAATAATTACTGAAATAGAGTTTTGATCAGAGGACATGGGAGTGTGGAAGAAAAATTGATTAATCCTTCTTTGGCTGGTATCAGGACTGGTGACAGCTGAGCAGCCCATGGAAGAATTGAATAAGAGTCAGCTGAAATATGGCTTTCTTGGTAGAAAAAGAATTTTTTTTTATGATGTTTCTAAAACCAAGATTTTTTTCCAATTTATTAAAAACATTAAAAAATGTGTGGTAAAATGCCCATAACATAAAATTTACCATCTTAACCATACTTAAGTGTGTAGTTCAGTATTGTCGAGTCTATTCACGTTGTCATGCAACCAATCCCCAGAACTTTTTCATTTTGCAAAACCGAAACTCTGTATCCATTAAACAACTCCCCGTTTCCTCTTCCCTCCAGCCCCTGGCAACCACCATTCTTTCTGTTTCTGTGAGTTTGACTATTCTAGATACTTCATCTAAGTGGAATCATACAATATGTGTCCTTTGGTGTCTGGCTTATTTCACTTAGCATAACGTCCTCAAGGTTCTTTCATGTTGCAGCCTGTCCCAGAATTTCCTTCCTTTTTAAGACTGAATAACATTCCATTACATTTGTATATCACATTCTGTTTATCAGGTCATCCAGGGATGGACACTTGGGTTGCTTCCTTGTCTTGGCTATTGCAAATAATGCTACTGTGAACATGGGTGTACGTGTATTTCTTCAAGACTCTGCTTTCAATTCTTTTGGTTATACCAGAGTGGAATTGTCAAGCTTGGTCCTTAAATCTCCTAATGTGTGTTCTTATTGTAAGGATAATAGTTGAAGGTGGATGTATGATTTATGTTTTAGAGCCTTGCTGCCCACTGTGGTACCTGGTCTCGTAGGAGCATCAGTTACACCTGGGAGATGGTTAGGTATCTTGCCCCAGCTCTACTGAACCAGATCTGCAAGTCCTAGGGAATCCCCAGGTGCCTCCCAGGCACATTAAAGTTTGAGCAGCCCTGCTCTGAGTATACACTGTTTCCCTTCCGAGAGTTTACGATCAAGTGTATCTTTTCTCTTCGGTTTTACCTTCATTCAAAAATTTGCTCTTCCCTCCCCTTTGTGCTACATACAAATCATTTGCTTTCAGAGACTTGATATTTAACATTGCAGCTGCAGAGATCTTTTCTTTTTTTTTTCTTTTTCCCGTTTACTGTTTCATCTGCCTCTAAAAGAGGCAGGAATTAGATCAGCTGGAATTAGAAAAGAAGACCCACTGCAGAGGTGACTGCTAATTAAGTCCCATCTAGAAGATTATTAGTTTAATACAGCAACAAAGCAAACAAACAAAAAGAGAGCATATTTTAGTTTTGGTTGAGAAGGGTAGGACCCAGGAAAACAGAAGTATGTGAAAAGAATTGCTAAGTGACTGATAAATAGGCTTAAGTTATTTAAACTGGCACCGAGCACGGCTTAAACAGTATGTTTTGCATCATCTAAATTTCTAAATACCTGGAGTATATTTGTAAACATGGCAATCTAACATGTTATTGAACGGCACATTCATATTCAAATGAGCATAAATGAGGATTTAACAGCTGATTGCACAGTGTGAATGATAGTAACTAATTGTCAAGTCGGAAAGTTGCACAGATAATAGTACTAATGCGATCGGCACGCAGCCGCAGTGATATGACTTACAGTAGCAAATCCGTGAATTTTCAGCTGGCTGCCCAAGTCCCCGTACATAAAAGAACGAGTCTGGATTAGGGCAACATGGGCCAAATGGGCAGTCAGAAGGGAAATGAAGGGCGAGGAGGAAGAATCGGAGCTAGGTTTGAGGGGCGGTGTGAAACTTTTCTTTCCCCCTACGCCGGCCTTTACCTCTTTCATAACAGTCATCAATGGGGCTCCCTGGCCATTCAGCGCTGTCCCTCTTCTAGGAAGCAATTGTTCAGAGGTGTGGCTCATTTCAGGCATTAATCTCCGCTGAATGGCGGCTGTGTGACACATTCTGTCTCTACCCGGAGCCTGCAGGCAGCTGGTCAGTGGAAAGAAACAATGACCACAGGAGGAGAATGGGGCAAACGCTTTGCTGCAGGTGCTGTATCCCCAGCCTTGACCTTGGTCATTTCCCTCCCAGGGTGGCTTGGCCCTTCGCAGCGGGAGCCTGGCTTTGCGAGGCTGCCATGGCGGGCAAGGTGGCCGCTACCTGCGGATTTGTTCCCTCCTAATAACCCTTAGACCCGACAGGCAGTCACCATGAGCACTGGAGACGGAGGCCAATGTGGAGGCTGCTAAGGCAAAACATGAAAACAAACCCCCTAACTTTTCAGGCAGGGGCTTTTCCAGCAGGGATGAGCGGCTCCAGTTCCCAGCGGGTCTGGTCGGTGATCCAAGCCTGGGTGTTGGGCATTGGTCAGGGGAAGTGGCTGTTCTTTCAGGTCAGCGCTTGCCTCCTGCAACCTCTGTCGCCCAGTCTCCAGCCTGTGCAGAGCGCTGGGAGGGGGAGAAATGTAACAAAAAATCCTGTCTTCTGTCCACCCCTAGTGCCTTCTATACCTCCACCCCCCAGGGGGAAAAACATATCACTATCCTCATCCCTTCCCCATCTTCAGCCCATCTCCATTCTCATCCAGTCTCCTTCTCCATCTTTCTCTACCTCCGCCTTTCTCTCTCTCATCTATCTCTCATCTATCTATTATCTATCAATCAATCGATCATCTATGTATCTATTTATGTATCTATTATCTATCATCTATCAATTATCAATCAATCAATCATCTAGGTATCTATCTGAGTATCTAGCAATCTATCATCTATGTATCTATTATCTATCTCTATGTATCTATCATCTAACACAGAAACGCAGATTGGGTGGAGTACTGCTTATCACTTCCTTGATTAAACCATGAATGACTGCCCACTGACAACAAAAAGTGCAAACTTTTTACTAGAACCCTGCAAGTCTTTCATAACCTGAACCACCTTAGTTTTCCAACTTCTTCCCCTTCCCTTCCTCCCTCCTCACTTCCTCTCTCCTTTCCTTCCTCTGAGGTCACAGACATGGTACCAGGCACAGGACATCCTGACACTCCCTCCCACCCACTTCCTGACGCCTGCCTTTCATCACACCCTGCCTCTAGGCCCACCTCCATCACCTCCAGGGTTTGGTCTCAGAGCCACGGGGGACCTCTTGTCTTCCCCCCAGGCTCCCTGCTCCTTCCCCTCTCCCAGCCTGTGTCTTTGAGGTTTCCTCTCTAGCATGCTTGTTCCTGAACCCACATTCTGGCCATAAATGGTTCCTTCTTTTTTTTTTTTTTTTTTTGTGGTACGCGGGCCTCTCCCTGTTGTGGCCTCTCCCGTTGCGGAGCGCATGCTCCGGACGCGCAGGCTCAGCGGCCATGGCTCACGGGCCCAGCCGCCCCGCGGCATGTGAGATCTTCCCGGACCGGGGCAAGAACCCGTGTCCCCTGCATCAGTAGGCGGACTCTCAACCACTGCGCCACCAGGGAAGCCCCTGGTTCCTTCTTTAGAGCTCTCTTTGTCGAGAACAAGCACAGCTGTACCTCTTGCCAGACTGAGGGTTCCTTTCTCATTTTATCCCAGTGCCTAGAAGGGTTTCCAGCTTAATAATATGTGCACGTGAGGGAGAAGGGGGAAGAAGCCTTGACTGCCACTTCTACCTGGATGGAAGTCAAGAACTCGGACCCTGGAGCCAGGCTTCCCGCTCAGACCTACCTCGGCCATTCACCGGCTGTGCATCCTTGGGTTGGTCTCCTCATCCCTCTGAGCCTCGTTTCGTCAAGTGTACGGTACAGCTTGTTACAGTACCTACCTCATAGGGTTGCTCTGAGGATTGAATGAACGAGTGCATGTGAAGTGCTTAGCCGACTGTAGATGCTCAGTAGATAGAATTCAAACTCCCTGAGGACTGGGACCCTTGTTTGATTGGCTGATAGGTTTTCAGCACCTAGGACTCTGCCTGGCATGAGAATGAATGGAGGGAGCTATAGTAGTAATCATATGTGAAATCTGCAGTTGGTGGGTCCTGCTGGCATTTGTATCCATGTGGGTTGGAATAAGCGTTGGGTGACCCTCAAACCTCTCTTTACTCTGCATTTGGAAGGACTGTGCTTAGGACTTCGTTATTTGGTTACTGTTGCCCCAATTCACCTGGAACACATATCTTTCATGCTGCCCTTCAGGTGTTATTCAGGGGACCAGCACTCTCCAGCCACACTGCATGGTTTGAAGCTGTGTTTTCAAGGACACCCTCCTCCAGCTCTCCACTCTGAAGATGTTTCCCCCATCCCTGCACTGCTGGTTGGGTCACCTTGGCCATGAGATCCTGATTTTCCATCCCATTCTAATTTGGTAAGTCCTCCTGCTTTGCTGTGCCCTGTTTCATGCAGGGCTCTTGTGACACTTCCATTTCCCACACCTGTTGGCTTCCCCTGACCCAGTCAAGGCTATTTTGGTTGCAAGTGCCCAAAACCAGCTCAAGGACGGTAAGGAAAACCAAAGGGGCATGAGTGATGGAGGAGGTTTATTGGAAGGAATCAGGAATATCTCAGAACTGATGGTCAGGAAAGGCTGTTGGAACCAGCAGTGGGAACGGCTCAGCCACGGAGGCCACTCTCTCCACCCACAGAACCTGTGGGCAAGCATGCCAGAGTGCTTGGCTGGAGGCGTATGGGGCCATGGGCTTTGGACATAGGTTACCTGAGAGCAGGTGCCACTCCAGGCCAAGCCGGAGGAGAGGAGAGGTTTTGGTTGCAGAACCAAAGCATCCTATCCCAGCACCTCCTGCTCAGACAGTCAGTTTGGAAAAGTTAGTTTCCTGAGGCAGGTTCCTTTGGGACTGAGTGAGAAGGGACCTTTACCTAATTCTCCTCCTGATGCAAACCTAGGGGAAGGGCATGCTGGGCAAAGAGACTCTAAGGGGATGGTTGTTAGGGCCTGGTGCAGCTGGGATCCCCTGACGTGGGATATGGGACATGGGACCCCACTTTAGCTCAGAAAAAAGGCCTGAGCTGAGTCCACCTTTGCACACAGCAGGTCACTGTGTTAACTCAGAGACCAAAGGACTTGGGTGGGGCTGGAAATAGGATGGGAATTAGGAGTGATGAGATGCCACTGATGTGAGACAGGGATTCTTCTTTCCTCTTTTCCTCAAATTCATGTCACACATTTCATAGATAATTTTGGTTCCCAGGTTATAAAAGGACAATTCTTAATCCCAGTATTAAAAATGTTCATTTTAGGATTTTTGTATTGATAATAAATTGATGAAGACAAGCATCATTGCAAGGAATAGAGAGCCAGGCTCCTTAATATTCACTCAGTTACAGTGATTATAGGATTTGGTTTTGCTCTTACTTTTCTATATCAAATAGAATTGTTTTTCTGTTTGTTTTTGACATTTCTATTTTTTCTTAACCTTTATTTTTTAGAGTATTCTTACATTCACAGAAATAGAATTGTTTTTTGTTATAGCTTTTATATGATTCCGATTTCACAGAAAGCTTCTAAAATCTACACATTTGTATTTGTGCCATGGTAAATTTCATTCAGTTCTACTTTTTAGCTTTTCATACAGAAGAATAAAAATAAGAAATTTAAAAAAATCACTGATTCATGAAACACTTGTTTGGCAGCAGTACAGCTATTGGGTTGGGACTGTGGCGACCTTCATTTTGACAGAATGAGGACAGATTATTGTTCAGATTAGAGTAGTTTATGAAATTAACCAAAACCACAAACAAAATATTAGCAAATAGAATACAGCAATGTATTAAAAGAAGAATATATCTTGACAAAGTGAGGTTTATCCAAAGTGGAATATTTGTTGAACATTAAAAAATCAATGTCATAAAGAACAAAAACCTTGTGACTGTACTAATAAATGCTGAGGAAACATTTGATAAAATTCAACACCCATTCTGTATTAAAAAAAAAAAGAAAACAACAACAAAAACAAAAAGCTCTCAGCAAAGTAGAAAATCAAGGAAAGAAACCTCCTCTCTAATAAGGGGTATCTATTGAACACTTAGAACTAACATCACACTTAATGGTAAAATATTAGATGCTTTCCCTCTACAGTCAAGGCAAGGATATTCACTTTTATCACTTCTATTCTACAATTCAGTAGAGGGTCTCGCCAGTGCAATAAGTCAAGGACAGAAATAAAAGGCACAAAGACGAGAAAGAAAGAAGGAAAACTATCTTTATTGGCAGTTGACGTCACTGTGTACATGAAACATCCAAAGGAATCTACAAACTACTAGAATTTTTTAGTGAATTTAGTAAAGTTGCAGGGTAAAAGACCAATGTATAAAGATTAAATTGTATTTCTCTATACAGGCAACAGATGATGGGAAAATAAAATTAAAATACACTACTGAAAGTAACCTAAGAATCAAATACTAAGAATAAATTTAATTTTAATGAAAGATATGCAAGGTCTCTACACAGAAATTTATAAAATATTGCTGAGACAAATTAGAGAAGTCTTAAATAAATGCAGAGATATATCATGTTCATGAACTGGAAGATTTAGTATGTTAAGATGCCAGCTTTCCTCAAATTTATCTATCCAGTTAATGCAACCCCAACCTAAATCCCAGCAGAGATTTTTGTAGAAATGAATAAGCTGATTCTAAAATATTTATGCAAAGGATCGTAAATAGACAGAACAATCATGAGAAAGAAGAACAAAGGTGGAGGAGTTATGCTAGCTGATTTCAAGACTTACTAAAAAACTATAGTAATCAAGATAGTGTACTATTGGTATAAGGTAAAAAATAGATTAATAGAACAGGATAAAGAGTCCAGAAATAGATCTACCGTGGTTATTGGGCAACATATAGATGCATGGTCAATTGCTTTTTGTCAAAAATGTCAAAGCAATTCAATGTAGAAAGGCAAATAAGTCACATGTCAGTAAATATCAGGGAAAAATGGTGGAAAAACTAGATGTTGGCACAGGAAAAAAATTAACCTTGACTCCTACCTCACACTATACATATAAATTAATTTGAAGTGGAAAACATATCTTCACTATTTGGGACAGGGAAAGATATCTTAGAAAGTCATAAAAGACACTACCAATAAAAGCAAACATTCATACATTGGACTTTATCAAAATTAAATACTTCTCATCAAAAGAAACATCATCAAGAAAGTGAAAAGTCAAGCTACAGATTGGGATGAAATATTCAATAAGCGTATATTTGAAAAAGACTTCATCTAGAATATATAAAGAATTCCTACAAATCAATAATAAAAAACCCAATTAATAAAAAATGGACAAAAATCTTTAACAAGCACTTTCAAAGGAAGATACCTGAATAGCCAAGAAATATCAATACATGAAAAGGTGTCCAACATTATAAGGTAATAGGGGAATGCAAATTAAAACCACAATGGAATACTGCAAGACACTCATCAGAATGTCTAAAATTACAAGACTGATAATACCAAGTGTTGGCAACCATACATTGTTGGTGAAAACATAAAATAGTAAAATTTTAGTTCAACATGTTATCTAACTTATGAGCAGAAAATCCACTTCTAGGTCCATACCCAAGTGAAATGAAAACATATTCCTCAAAAAGATGTGTCCAAAACGTTCATGATAGCTTTATTCATAATAACTGGGAACGTCAGCAAGAGAATAGATAAACAAATTATGGTATATTTTTACAATGGGATACTACCCATCAATCAAAAGAAACAAACTCTTGATGAAGGCAACATCACGGATGAATCAAAAACATTATATTGAAAATGCTGGAGAGGGTTTGGAGAAAAGGGAACACTTGCACTGCTGGTGGGAATGTGAATTGGTACAGCCACTATGGAGAACAGTATGGAGGTTCCTTAAAAAACTACAAATAGAACTACCATACAACCCAGCAATCTCACTAATGGACATATACCCTGAGAAAACCATAATTCAAAAAGAGTCATGTACCACAATGTTCATTGCAGCTCTATTTACAATAGCCTGGAGATGGAAACCACCTAAGTGCCCATCTTCTGATGAATGGATAAAGAAGATGTGGCACATATATACAATGGAATATTACTCAGCCATAAAAAGAAACGAAATTGAGTTATTTGTAGTGAGGTGGATGGACCTAGAGTCTGTCATACAGAGTGAAGTAAGTCAGAAAGAGAAAAGCAAATACCGTATGCTAACACATATATATGGAATTTAAGAAAAAAAATGTCATGAAGAACATAGGGGTAAGACAGGAATAAAGACACAGACCTACTAGAGAACGGACTTGAGGATATGGGGAGGGGGAAGGGTGAGCTGTGACAAAGCGAGAGAGAGGCATGGACATATATACACTATGAAACGTAAGGTAGATAGCTAGTGGGAAGCAGCTGCATAGCACAGGGAGATCAGCTCGGTGCTTTGTGACCGCCTGGAGGGGTGGGATGGGGAGGGTGGGAGGGGGGAGATGCGGGAGGGAAGAGATATGGGAGCATGTGTATATGTATAACTGATTCACTTTGTTATAAAGCAGAAACTAACACACCATTGTAAAGCAA